AGTACATCATGAAGTACATCATGAAGTACATCATGGAGTACATCATGAAGTACATCATGGAGTACATCATGGAGTACATCATGGAGTACATCTTGGAGTACATCTTGGAGTACATCATGGAGTACATCATGGAGTACATCTTGGAGTACATCATGAAGAACATCATGAAGTACATCATGAAGTACATCATGAGGTCCAGCTCTTAAGAGTAAAACTCACCTGACGACCTTCATGGAGTTGTCGTACTTCTCGTGGTTGACGCCCATAACAAACATGGGAGCATCAGCACTGGGAGCGGAGATCACCACCCTCTTAGCGCCGCCCTTCAGGTGAGCCTGGGGAGGGACAAGAGGACGGAGATAATCACATTACGAAGGTTTGAAGAAAATCATTTGAAACTATTCACTGCCCACGTGGAGCGAGACGCTGTGACTGGGTGGAACGTCACATGTTCATCTTCTAAAGAAAAGAAATATGTGGTTGATAAACGTACAGACGCCTTCTCGATGGTGGTGAACACACCGGTGGACTCCACCACGTAGTCGGCGCCGGCATCGCTCCACTTGATGTTGGCGGGGTCTCTCCTGCACGTTCATCACAAACCAGAGTTCAGACACTTGGACTTGATGGATTCTGCTGAAGCGCCGTGTTAAACAAAAGTTACGTACTCGTGAAAGACCGTGATGTGCATGTCGCCCACGACCAGCTTGCCGCCCTCGGCCTTCACCTCTCCGTGCTTCCACACGCCGTGAGTGGAGTCATACTTAAACATGTAGACCTGCAGGGGGGAGGGGGGGGGGAGAGGAACATTTAAAACAACACAGAGGTTTTAATACCTGCACCTGAAAACTCCAATGATTCATCCCAGCTCTCTGCCTCTTATTAAATTGATTTTGCGCCTGAAGACATTGTCCTTTTAAAAGAGTTTCTGTAACAAAGCGACTCTCACCATGTAGTCCAGGTCGATGAACGGGTCGTTGATGGCCACCACCTCCACTTTGCCACCAGTGGCGGCGGCTCTGGTCACCAGACGACCGATACGTCCGAATCTGAAACACGGGGAGGACAAAGTGAACATGGACGACCCAGCGAGAGCACAACGGAGTGGGCTGGTGAAGATTCCTCTGAGAGCTCTGGGGGAAATAAGACTCTAAAAAAAAAAAACTCTACAAGAGCTTTGAAGATGTTTTGAAAATGTTTTCACCATCTGAGAACCACAAAGGAGAAAACCACGGAGGAGCACAGGAGCCGAGACGGAGTGAAGGTCTGTATGTTTGAGCTCAGGAGAGAAAAGAGAGACTAGTGGAAGGAAGTGAAAAGTCATCTGTAGTTCTCAGAGTCTCCAATTTATATTTTTACTTGTGCCTGTTCAGTAAAGTAACTTAGGTCGCTGTGGCTCAAAGCCCACATTTCCCTCTGTGACCAGCAGGAGACGCCGGAACTCAAACCACGACATGCCGAGGACAGACGAGCCGTACAAGGCCGCCAACCTTGACCGGAGATAACAATAGTTGGCACCGGCAGCTGAAAGCCTGTTTACGCCTAATATGGCCGGTCAGACAGAGATGAGGAGCGGAGGGCAGAGATCTTCGTTCAGGAGCGGAGCAGAGATTGATCTGACATTTTTAAACCTCTGAGCTGAGCAGCTTTAAGAAAGTGTGACCACCGTCAGGTCCAGAATCCTCGCTCACTCGCCGCAACGTGAAGTTCCTCGAGCTGCTCGTACGAACAACCTCTGGTGCATTAAAAGAAAAGAACAAAACACTGTCACCATGTCACTGATCCCACACTATTTATACTTCACACGACCGAGTCCTGTTATATAACGACCCTCGCGAGTCACGTTACATGCTGACTATACGCCCTGCGCCTTCAAACCACCACTGAAGAAGAAGATCATCAAACTTGAAACGCTTCAGTTTCTACTCTGAACTTTACAAAACACGGTGAGAGTCAACATCTGGAATAATAACACAGTAAACCTCTGGTTCTACCGAGTGCGTCGTCTGTCGGAGTCGATGCAGTTTGATTACGTTCTCTTTCCCGCCCAAAAGTCCCTGATCGGGGGGGAGGGAGTACTTTATTTAAGGACAGGAACCAAATCTGTGATGTTAGAGTTGTTCACACGTCAGCAGACAAATCTGTCTGATGTCCTCTGGTCTTAAGACGACAGAGGACATGCTGCAGCGACAGTCAGCTGGAGACTTTGGAAAAAAGTTCTCAGGAGTTCCAGGATGTTTTGGTCTCAACACGGAGACGAAGATCTGATGAATAGAATCTGATAGAAACACTTGAATGAAACGAGCTGCATCGACCTCCTACAGTCTGAGGAGCGTCCGTGAACCATCGGCCCATCGGACGGTCGCTGAACTGCGGCGGAAAGGTTAGAGGGTTAAAAATAGACGAGAGGAGGGTGATAGGAATGTGACAGCTGACGGGTGTGGAGGAAGACGAGGAAGATGAAGAAGAAGAGAAGCCAACTGTGACGCCACAACAACACCTGACTATAAATAACCAGAGAATAGAGCTGCAGAGTCCTGACACTGTCTCTGTCTCTGACACTGTCTCTGTCTCTGTCCAGCACTTAGACCGAGACAAGAGATCAACAGCACTTTTTAAATGTTTATCATATTAAAGACCTGAACTTTAACCTGTTTTAATGGATATTCTATGTTTATATATACATGAAAATGTAATATATAGAAATATAATATATATATGAGTCAAAACATACTCACATTAATATAATTTAATATACTTTCTGATATTGAATTAAGTGTTGAGTCACTTCACACAGTTACAGAAGTTACTGTCAGATAATTGTCAGGTAAGTTATGGACTCGATGAACAGCAGCTGAACTGGATGAAACTTTTAAATATTATAAGTTCATCAACTCACCCGTTGATTCCGATCTTCACCATTTTGTCTGATCTGGTCTGATCTTCACTGGAACATAAAAATAAAAGCATGGGAATTATATTTCAAAATAAAAACCAGATCATCATGTACAGCAGCAGAAGATAAAAAAAGATTTAACAAGAATAATTATAATTAATCAATTTTGAAAACATCAGATCAGAGAAAATCAATCAGCTGATTTTTCAGGTTTGTGCGTAAAACAAAAGCAAACGTTCCTGAATTGCTCCTCTTGTTTGTTTTTACGTAGAATAAGTGAAAAGTGAGTAAGTACCGTTCGTGAATGCTCCTGAGTGCGCGTCCTCTGACGGAGAAGTGAGAGCGGGGACGAGCAACACGCGTCACCGCCATTTATCCCCGCTGCGCGCCCCCCGGACACGCCCCCTTCATAATGTCAAGGTCAGGATTTTTTTTTTTTAATTTTTTTTTTTATCACCTGCAGAGAAATTAAACAAAAAATAAAACTTTATTCGTATGAACACAAATCTATATATTATTGATTATATACAAAGTAGAATTCTGAATAAATTAAAACTGAGAAAAAAGTAAAGACATTAAAATAAGATTGGATTTAAAAGACAATAAAAAAAAGTTCTCTACAGATGCAACGAATAATTTAACATTTAAAAATAAAAGCAAATTACATTTCAATTTAAAATAATAAAATCAAAAGGTGAAAACTACTAAATAATTAATGGATTAAAGTTTTGAGCTGAGATTTAAATGTGACGGGTGAACGTACACTCGCTCAGTGCAGGGTGAAGTAAAGGTCGACCTATAAATATGACGTCCAACGTGAGCTTCATACAGTCTCAATATGTCAAAGAGTCACACACGTGTTGTGACGTCACTCTGAGCCGGGGCCAGGGACGCCATCACGGACGGACGAGAACATCCTGGTCTGAATAAAAAAATAAAGTGATTTGATAAATGTGGTTCTTTTGTGTTCACAGCTCAAGATTTCAGCTTCAGACGAGCGTCGTCATTGGTCAGTGGATCCACCGGCGCTGATAATTCCCATGATCCACCACAACCATGCTTATCAAAAAACTGGAATGGTTGGAGAGTCTGTGACTCAAGGCTGCTCCGCTCTCCGGCCTTCTATTTAGAAACGTTTCCCTGAAAAGAAGTCAGAGACCTGAAGCTGTTTCTCCTTCCTTTCCTTCCATCTCTCCTATCTTTCTCCTCCCCTCCTTCCTTCCGTCCTCCCTTCACTCTTTCATTAAATATTGCAGGACCTTCACGGAGAAGTGAAAGAACTTTGACTGTGTCCTGACTCGGGCTGAATCCACTGCTGTAACAGTCCGTTGATTTAATTTGAAGTGTCAGAACTTCTCCTCACAGAGACACAGACGATTAAATCAGTTTCAAACCTGTTTTCTGTTCAACATAACAAACTCTCACCAGCTCTGTGACTCACTTTAATGATCTTACAAGTGAGGAGGTGAGAGAGGAGGTGAAGGAGACGAAGGAAGAGGTGAAGGAGGTGAGAGAGGAGGCGAAGGAGACGAAGGAAGAGGTGAAGGAGGGGAAG